TTGGCAGTTACTTTAGAGACCGTGGCAATAGCAGCAGTCGCCAAATCAATCGCGGATCTCCAAGACAGATGAAACGAACCATTGAAACCATGAAACGTTTACGAACTATGCCAGATACGCTAGCAAGAAGGCAGTAATTACAGTTACTTCATTGACTAGACTCATGATCCCAGATATCCGACCAGGAAACTACTAGTGGCGGTAGCAAAAGCAAGGCTGCAATATGCTGCACCAATCTGGAGCAATGCCACTAGTAAGGGATCATACTTGAAAGGAGCGCGCATGGTGTTGGGAGTGTGGCAGAGCAGATGGCAATAGTTGCAACGGGGGAGTTGGTGCTATCATCTTATCCCTGAGTTAGCGGTATGGGGAGAGTGTAACCACAAATGCATGGACTACCACCTAACACAGTTCCTCACGGACCACTACACAAGGCGTTGACTGATGATCCGCTCAGGCTAAGTAGTTTTTCCGCCGCTATGTTGGTGAACAATGAGGCATGGGAGCTGGGACATAGAATCATCACTAAAATGATGAAACGAGTCCGAGCCGACGAGATGGCCAACAGAGCTGGAGGCTAAAAAATCACGTTTCCTGAGTGGTGGCTCGTCTTGTAAAAGGCGACTAAAGGGTAGAAGGAGGAGCGCCTCATGGCCAACTCTTAAGGAAGGGAGTTCGATCGGGCTTTACATCCTGCTCATCGAAGTCATACGTTGACTGGTAGTTCCGGTGAGCGAGAAAGGACTAAGAAGCACACGGAGGTTTTTGTTTTAGTACGCAGGCAAATAGAAGGCACTAGGAATAAAAATAAAAAAAAAAAAAAAAGCTCAAGTGCATTAGTAAACAAAATAGCCACACTTACTGAAAAGTCAATGAGATACGGGAGCTCATTCAGCGCATTGTAAAGCGCATTGTTTGCCCTTTTAAAGTCAAAAGGCGTAGTCGCCAGTGCGTATGATTGTCATTGTAGTCACCGGCCGCTATGAATCGGTCCTCAGAAACTACAAAACGAGGTAGACACTAGCTTGCAGCTACAGTGACGGGATTGAATGCTTATGGAAGTATATTGCAGTAGCCCATTTCAGTTATAAAGGATAGTTTGTCTTGGAATGTCTTGTCTTGGAGTTTGCATGGAATAGGTATTCTGGAATATATGGATATATGTGCTTATCTGATATATGTGTCTTGGAGAGGAGAATGACGTCAATATTTTTTTCGGATAAGAAGTTTGAGGGCAAGTTTGTTTGTAAGTTTGGGAAAGTTCGAGCTTTTGCCGAGAAACGCCATTCGCAGTCAACATAAATATTTAAAGCGGAGACATTTATTGATGTGGATGACACAAGAAGATGTATAAGCTGTATTCGCATAAGCTCTTGCATTGGGGTTTTCATGAATATCATAAATTCTTTTAGGCTTGGCTAGAGTGAGATCACCAACGTTTAATCGTTGATATATGCTACGTTTGTTCGTTCAAAGTAGTTATTTAACGGATTACAAATTTAATTCCAGGTTATGGGGCACTAGCGAAGGAAACGCTAAGAGTGATACGATGTATGGGAGGGCCTGCTGTGTAAGACAGGCCCGATTAAGGCATGGTAAGACTGACGTGGGTGGTCTGAGCGTGTATTTATTCTGCACGTTGGTTAGGGAGTCTTATTAGTTCTTTGTATACTACAAAGCCACGCCCATCGCTGTGTGGGTTTCACCGCAGTTGCTGCACATTTTTACAGAGATGTCTTCCTTGTTCTTGTGGCAGTTCGCTGTGCTATGAGCTTCAATACAGACTACGCAAATATATTTCAGTGTACAGTAACCTTTAGTGTGACAATATTGGCAGGTAGTGCACTGCACTGGGCGATTACGCTTGGCTCATCCACTTCATTTTCTTCATTGTCTGCCTCTTACTCGATTTTGAATATTGGTTGTGGTTCCTTATTTTTGTATAATATATTATGTTCATGACCATTTTCCCATATTTTTCCAGTTGCCTTAATCTCTTTGAGAACCTATGCGCTTTTTAGTTGGTAGGTATACAAGTTTTTTTCTTGAATCATCCAAAAATTTGGTTACTATACTATGGTTTCGACTTGAACTTTTGTTTCATTTATGTTCAATTTCTTGAACAAGAAAGAAATAATTTTACTACTGAGTCACTTACTCTCAGTTATCGACCACTTATAACTAATTGGCTCTACAGATTGACAGGCCATAGAACCAACTGGTTACGGTTCGCGAAATATGTTTGTACTCACATGAAACCAGTATTTATCGATAAGGATATCTAGATAGAAGAAAACTTATTGCTGCAGCCAAGAGGTCTTGGCCCCCTCCAGACACAGACATAATGACAAGTCATAAAAGACAAATCGTGAAATCAAACAAGTAGTACCTAAAAAACGAGGACTAAGAAGAGAAGGGTAGAATCACAGATCCCCAAAGGGTAAAGAACACCTAAAAATAGCAAACGTCCAGCATTTATGAATCAAACAACTTTCGCCCACCAGCAAAACGAAACCTTTAGGAAAATTACACAAAAATCTTTACAAATCATGCTAGCAAATCAGTTGTCTTACCGGCAGTAACTAAAATACAGTAACTTACCAACAATAAATCCAATAACATTCAGGCAAAATAAGGAAGCAACTATCCGATCTAAAGTACAAGAAATTACTTGGCCATGACTTGAAGACACCAAATATAATCATAAAACTCCCACTGTGTGCGGTTCTCATCTTATGTCATACTTCATCTCTCGAATACTATCCCCAAAGGTGGAAAAGCCGGTCGTAGTTTTGATTCCCAAGCCAGGCAAAGGCAAAACACAACCCCCATCGTGCAGACCAATCAGTCTCCTACCGTGTCTCTCGGAACTGTTTGAAAAGGCATTTTAAAATCGTGATTTAGATGCCCAATGAACAGTTGCCTGTCATTTTAAAACAGTGAAAATATAGTTTGCGGACTGGCGTATTAAGATAAGCAACGACGCCAAGTCGTTTACGCGAGTCTGCAGTCAGAGCCGACGGAAGCGCCGTTCAAATTGACAGAGACAGCGAGAGACGAGAGACGAGAAAGATTACCTCGCAGCTGAGGTGCCGTAGAGTTTGATTGTGTCTCCAAAGTTGGCATGTTTACACTCAATAAATTTAGGAACTCCTGGCGGCTGCGAGACCCGACACCCTCCCTCGCTGGAAGCGTGGCTTTCACGAGAATCCCTGCTGCTGAAACATACTTCGGTACAATGATTGGGTTACGGGTCATTAGAAGTTCATCGTGGTCAACGAAGGGTGACTGTGATCGGAAGTTTTCCAAGAAAGACTCTTCGACGAAACTGTAGCACTGGCTTCTCTGTTAATGTCGTAGGTGGCCAGTTAGTTAGTTTTAAGAACACGGTCCATGAGCTTCCTTATTGGGTGGAATAGCCACGACAGACGATTCTAACTCTGTTACATCTGAGCAACTGCCACCTCCAGAAATTTGAATTGGGAGCAATGCCGGCACAAGCTTGACTGGACCGACGCATAGCAGTTCATAGAAGATGCTGAAGCCCATCAATAAATCTACGCGTTAAGAACGATGAAAATCTGGGTCCAAGAGCTTAATATTTTAGGGTATGTTCCAAAATGTCAATGTTAAAGCGGGGCTGACTTTCGGTAAAATTGTAGGCTATAACAGCACTGATGTCGGTGGAGTAGACATTCGAGATCGCATTAAAATATTTACTGATATCCTGTGCTAGAAGAGCAGTAGACATCCCAGGCAATGCAGAAGGTTCTGCGGCATGTGTCGCCAGAGTCTGCGTAACTGCTCCAGAAATGATGCTATGGATTCCTATGTTGGAATTTGTTGTAGCTAATTTCTGAAGGCTGGGCCTCCAAATGCTCCTCCCATTTGGCCTGGATCGCCGGATCCAATGCTATAGCATAGTTTCCTTCCGAAATTTTTAGTGAGCGAATTGCTGTAGTTTTTGTATGTCTGTGAGATCTGGATGGCTATCTATGATCGTAGTAAATATAGAATAAAAATCTAGCCTATCAGGATAGCCTCCAACGAATCTTGGGAGATCAAGAGGGGTAGATTCAGCGCCCTATGCCGGAATGGACGCCTCTGATCGCCACAATTACACGGAGAAATGCCTTCAGCAAAGGTTGTGTGAGAGTGCATTTGCGAGTTGCACTTTGAAATCACCTCCCGAACTGAGGATTTAGGCGTTACATCATTAAATTTCTTACTCAGATTACTTTCAATTTCGTTCAAATCAAGTTCTTCGAGCCCGTTGAAAATTTTCCTAAATGTTTGTGGTAGCTAGCTCATCGATCAGCTCACATACAGAACGGAATTGTCAAAAGAAATTAATGCAAAGACAAGAAGTCAGGTAAGTGGTCTACTGTATTATAAATTGCAGTCGCCTTGCAATATTCAATTTTGCTCAACCAACGGAATTCCGTTTATTTCTCATTGCCTTTAATCCTTTCTAAATATTGCAGACAACTATTGTTGTTCAACACTTAACAACAACAGCGATATAAGCTTAGAACACCTAAGCTTTAAACACCTTTTTTATGATTTGCGCTATGCATAAATAATAATTAATGCACAGATCACGACGGGGTCACCATAATTCGATCTAAGTTGTTACGAAATGAAAATAGGATTTATATGTAGCGATTTCGAACGAATCGATTTTATTCTTTTTTGTTATAGGGAAATTTGGCATCGATGCGCGCATGGTTGTGTTACGAAAGCAAATGTGTATGAGCGACTTAATTGTAGAACGAACAGAAGAACGCTAAGTTTAGGGTCCAAGCGCGAGAGAAAAAGAGAGAGAGCGCAAGAGCTTAGGACTGCTGGCGCCTGCGAGACACGACAGTTTACATAAATGAACATTTTTGGGACCTGCAGAAAATTGTATCATCATCTGTCTTAATTTATGTTATTGTCTTATATATGTTTTATAGAACTAATAAGGTAATTTTAATTTAAAAACTTTTTATTTAACAGTTTGAATACAATTGCATGCTAGATGTAATGCATTTCAAAGGATTGGCACGAGTTATTGGATCATTGGATAATACGATCGTATACGCTGATCTAGTTATAAATGTGTCCAACTTCAAGCTTCATCTAACCGACTTTCGAATAATTCAGTTCAGGTAAGACTAAAATGTATAAAAAGTATACACAAGTGTATACACAACAAATCTTAAAATAATACAAATATAATATAAATAAAAAAAACAAGAGAGAATGCTATAGTCGAGTTCCCCGACTATCAGATACCCGTTACTCAGCTAGTGGAAGTGCGAAAAAGACATTTTAAAATTTTCTGGAATATCAGTAGAAATTTGAAAAAAGAAAAATAATAAAATGAAAAAAAAAAATTGTGGACATGGCAGATTTTGATGGTTTGTGTCTGTAGAAATTTACAAGGCTAATAAAAAAGTGAAAAATAGGACAACATTTTTCAAAAGTACGGGCGTGGGAATTTTTTTTCGGTTTGTGAGTGTTAGAGTGGGCGCGCCAACATCATTTAACAAACTTGTATCTGGAATGTGCATGCCTAATCTCAACATTCTAGCTTTCATAGTTCCGGATATCTCGACGTTCATACGGACGAACAGGCGGACAGACGGCCATGCCCAGTTCGACTCGGCTATTGATCCTGATCAAGCATTTATATACTTTATATGGTCGGAAACGCTTTCCTCTGTCTGTTACATACTTACCCGTAAAATAGGTATATCTGTTGAAAATTTACACAAAAAAAAAAAAAAAAACGATTTACTTTATATTCATTTAGTTGACCGCAGTACCGTCTTTTAAATTCCCGGTTTGAAAATGTTGTGATACAGGTTATTCGCACTAGAACCTAGTAATGGCAATCAGCCAACAACTATTTTGCCATAAGCATACAATATTCACTGTTGAATTTATTCACTAAGCATACAATATTTTTGATATTCTTGAGACGCCTCCAAATTGGATGGTAGCTGACTCTAGCTATTTGCGTCTGTATTAGCTCCGATATATAATGCCTTCGATTTGTGGTGTGCTTCTTCAAAAGCAAGCGAAGAGGCACAGGTGCTTACGAAGACGTTTCCAATTGCAAATGTCATCCACGGTTGACCTTGGTTCTTCTTGGTTACTCTGTACTTAAGTGCATCTCAATCTGAGTTATAGAGAAACACGTGATTGATGAAGTAGCTCTTGAATCTGTCCACCAGTTCAGTACGTCTAGGTGCTTAGAACTTCTAGGGTGGCGTCCCATTTTGCCGAGCTAAAGGCATTTCTGATGTCCAATATCACCACCAAGCAGTATGCTTTGCTGCCCGAGTTACCGATCCATCGGTACTATACACCACCCCTCCCCCTAAACCACCTCGCCTACACAAATAGAAGACATCGAACCGGGAAGCTTTGCGATACAAAGTTGCAACATAAACATCAACGGCGAGTCAGCTGCCGTCATCCGCCCAGAGAGCTGACACCACATTCTTTTCGCTCAGACAGGGCAACGCATACGATTCCATATACATACTTATAAACATACTTATACTTTCTGCTGTGTCAGATACTTTATTTCTAAGAACCTTAACATTGTAACACATACATACATATTCACTATTAGCTTATTTAAGACGAAAGGAAAATGCGACGATCAGTCGATTTTGAGCACCAAGAACCAACATATCCATGTTAAAATCTCGAAATAAATCACTGATTCTCGCAACAAATTACTGATCGTATTCCTCCTCACAACCCCCCTGTCTTCCGCATTACAATACCTCACGAAGCTCCCCGGAGGTAACTGGCGCAGCCGGGAAACTGGAATGGAAAATACATTATTAAACCTTTTATTAGCCTTACTGTAAGTAGTTGTGGGAAAAGAGCGAGAATGAAAAATATGTTCAAACAAAACAAAAAGTGCAAAAATGTCTAAAAATTCTAAAAGTAATCACAACAAAAGTTCTACTACAATACATAAACCGCCTTAACAAACATACAAATCACTTATATATATAATAAAAAAAAAAAAAAAAACTATAACAAATACGCTGTATTCGTGAAATATGATGTGTGATGTACTTGTGTGAAATCAATCGCTGAAAGTCACTGCCGAAGTTTATTAAGGCCAAGAACCACATCATTATTTTCACGTGTACATATATATATGCGCAAAACAACTAAAGCAATATACACACACACAAATATTTCAAATGCAGAAAATGTAGTGTACCTGTGTGGCATCAATCGCTGATAAACCACTGCCGAAATATTAAAGGCCTGGTACTACATCGCAACAATACATACATATACAACAAAAATATATACGCAACATAACCATACATACATACGTGTAAAAGTGACGTGTAATGTACTTGTGTGAAATCAATCGATGATAGTCACTGCCGAAGTTTATTAAGGCCAAGTACCACATCATTATTTTCACGTGTACATATATATATGCGCAAAACAACTAAAGCAATATACACACACACACATATTCCAAATGCAAATAACATTATTCGAGCAATGAAATGTATGATTCTTAAGGCTGGATACAAAACCACAAATCACATATAAATTGCACACCTTAATAAAAAGGAAAACAACAAGAAATCCTTCCATGGGGCATACCAATCTATCTCCATCCACAACTTCAATAACACCAACCTCTTAGCAAAAGTGCCGCTAGGGAAAACACTCGTGATAGGAAACTATAAAAAAATTAGCCACATAATTGATCTATCCGAATACACCAACTGTATCGAAAAATTATATCACACTATCGATACCCTAAGACACGATGAAACACTCACCGACTCTATATTAATACTAAATGCTAAGCTCGCCCAAACTCAAAGTAAAATAGACGCACTAACACCCTTTTCACGCCACAAAAGAGGTCTTATTAACGGGTTAGGTAGTTTAGTCAAAGTCGTCACTGGCAACATGGACGCCAATGATGCAAAGAATATAGAAACGGAAATTAACCACCTAAAAAGCCAATCCACCACCATCTCAAATAACTTCAAAATACAGAACTCATTTAACGATGAAGTTCAACTACGGTTCGAAAACTTAACAAGACACATTAACAACGAACAGAATTTAATTAAAAACTTCTTCGAAAACATTCAAAATACAATTTACAAAAAAATATATAACAATGAAGAAGAAATAAAGAAACTACAGTATATAAATAGGCTTAATTATAATATAGATTTATTACTTAGCCATTTAAATGACATTATAGGAAGTACACTGCTTGCCAAAATTAATGTTATCCCAAAACTCATCTTAGATAAGACAGAAATAACCAAAATCAAAAAAATTTTTGAAACCCAAAACTATACAATAATATCCGAACAGCACATTTATAACCTGTTAAAAATGAACACAGTCAATTACCAAGACAAAATAATTTTCAGTATCAAAATCCCTATTTTTATTAATTCTAACTATGAAATGGCAAGATTAATTCCTCTTCCAATTAACTCCACACAATTTGTAATAGCACCTAAGTACTTAATATATAATAACAAAAGTAATAGTATGTGTTCAACTATGTATAAATGCCCTGTAATTGAAGAACAATTCATCTGCGAAATCGATTCCATCAATAATCTTAAAAATAATACTTGCCTGGGACACCTTACCCAGAATAAAACCAGCTACTGCGACATAAAGGAAACGGGACTCACGACTGATGTCTTCGAACCGGAAAAAGGCTTCATATTTATATTTAACGGGTACAACCTCCCAATCATCTCCTCCAACCAAACCATAACGAACATCAACGGATCGGCCATAATTAAATATAATAATTGCATATTACGAATCAATGAAATTAACTACGACAACACGGTGGTATCAACAGAAGAGCATCCCGACTTCTTCCTACCACCAATGCGGAAACTAATAAAAAATGCCTCTGTCGACGTACTTACCTTAGAAAGACTTCACCTGGATACGATCACAACATCCAACAAACTACTGGTCGTCACCGCAGGAAACGCTCGACACTCGACAACCCTGTACATCCTCTTCACCATATCCCTAATCGCCGTAATACTCACCTGGACACTTCGTAGGGACACCCACATCTTCCATACCGGGTCCGAACACATCCTTCCAATCGTCGCTCCACCAATTCCTCCGTTATGGCCGTCGCTCCAAACTGGGGGGGGAGGAGTTACCGATCCATCGGTACTATACACCACCCCTCCCCCTAAACCACCTCGCCTACACAAATAGAAGACATCGAACCGGGAAGCTTTGCGATACAAAGTTGCAACATAAACATCAACGGCGAGTCAGCTGCCGTCATCCGCCCAGAGAGCTGACACCACATTCTTTTCGCTCAGACAGGGCAACGCATACGATTACATATACATACTTATAAACATACTTATACTTTCTGCTGTGTCAGATACTTTATTTCTAAGAACCTTAACATTGTAACACATACATACATATTCACTATTAGCTTATTTAAGACGAAAGGAAAATGCGACGATCAGTCGATTTTGAGCACCAAGAACTTGCGGACATATCCATGTTAAAATCTCGAAATAAATCACTGATTCTCGCAACAAATTACTGATCGTATTCCTCCTCACAACCCCCCTGTCTTCCGCATTACAATACCTCACGAAGCTCCCCGGAGGTAACTCCCGCTTAAAAGTTTTTCCTATTTGATCATATTGGTCTGTGTAAAGATGATTTAAATGTATGTGTTCTAAGACTGTGTGTTTTTGTTCAAATCTAAGATTAAATTAGTGGTTTCCATAGGTATGTGAACATGATGATAAGGTTGTTCAGAAGGTTTTTGTGTTTTTATTTTTACTTTTTGTTGGCAATAGAATTTTTGGTTTACTGAAAACTCGATGTTTCGGAGTACAAACTACAAAAAACAATTAAATTAAAAAGGTTTTAAAAAGTTTAGCAATAAATTAATGTAAGTTATGACTTCCATACTCTTCCGCGTTTGTATCAATGTGCCGGAGGATGCAATTGTCGAGGAAACTCATACCACTGCCTTAAACAGGGCAAACGAAGTTCGTGTTTTATACTGCTTAAAAGGCCCACGCCCAGTTGATCTTCTCTCCCATTTGATATTGGTAATTTTATTCCCAATGGAAAGTTCGCATTCCTTACATGCTTGCCAATGGAGATTTCTACTACTTACTAGATATAAACTACTTCAATTTGGAGCTTGATTTCATATTTAGTTAAAATGTTATTTGCCAGCTATTGATAGGCGATCGCAATTTATACAAATACACTTTACACTTGCATGTGTTACAAATTTGCATGTGACATGCAGGTGTGAGGAAGCGGATGAGCAAAGGTCACAACACAGGCCCATGACCAGTGGGCACCATCAGATCCATTCCACCATCCATTCACGAAACCCGGATACCGGCTAGGAGCAGGCACGACGGGTGAAGAAGTCGAAGTGAAGAAGACGACGTAGTTTCCGACTTAATTCCTGGAAACGGAGCTCGTAAAATTTCGCTCTTCGGTTGGAACATCAACTATATCAGCATACACAACTCAAGAGAATCCGAGAATTCATGCTGGTTAAAAACTCCAGTATATCAGAAGTTACGGGCTACTTACCGGCGTTTCTAACAACAAGGCCACGAGCTCAGGCTACCGTGCTATTAGGTCCGGAAACGCTAGGTACAGGAAGGCGGGGGAACCTGAAGAAAGTTTCCCAAGACCGGGCAAGACATTATAATATGCGAAGCAATAGAAGCCTAGGATCGGTGACCTTGTTTGGGCCAAAGAGCACCATTTGTCGAAAGTGGCAGAGGGATTTACTGCTAAACTGAGAGCGATGTTCGATGGACCGTACCAGATTATGGATTTCGTAATAGTAATATAATATGTAAGATCCGCACCAGACAGACAAAAAAAATCGACCTATTAGTGCCCTTCTCCTGGAAAAGGACTTGGGCCAAGGGAGAACCATTAGGCTCCAGGTTTCCAGCGTAAGCTCGTCGTAATCAGATCGCGGGATATTGTTAAGCCTCTCACCTGTCCAACATAACGAGAATAAATATAAGAAGTGCCTGTAAAAACAATTGGATATCGTGCCGTTCGGCAGTCAACAGTCCTTACTGCCCCACCAACTTAGCTGTCGCTTGATCGGTAAACGATCGAGCTATATTTCGGCCACATTCCCTTCCCTTCACACATTCGTGTGCCAAATGGATCTTCGCGGGGCTTGCAATACGATCCTCATTTGTCAAGCTTGTTCGTCAAACGTTATGTCATAATTTTTGACCTACTCCACTTCTCGTGTCATTACCCTCTTCGAAAATGGCTTACCTACTCATTTTATCGTTATTGGATTCATATTATATTTGTATTAATTAATATGTTGGTGGTTAGTGACATGTGTAATATAAATATTAAATTCTAGTACACAAAAGCTATATAAGTTGACAATAATTTGTTTAGCGAAGAGTATCGAATTCCTTATCGGGCCACAGTGCACATGTCAACAAAAGCTGCTGGATATTCACGACTCCAAACGTTGCTCTGAGGGCTCTTATCTTTGTGCATCAATAACAAGGCTGATAGTCGCCGCGGGCTAGTTATCTTTATTTATAAAAAAATATTACTTTAAATTTAGTCATATTATATTTATTATTTTAAATTTAGTCAATGAGATGCATTGCCTGGAAGAGGGTAACAAATTAAAAGTCTTCTATGTCTTATACATTTCGGTTAACACTATTACAAAAATATATTGATCGTAAAAAGAAACGAAGTTGGCACGAGTATGTATATATCAAAATATAAACAAAATACGGAAACTGTGTTCAGCCAGAAGTTGGAATTATACATACATATACAGTGGTGGACACTAATTTAGCACACTATGCATGGTCGATTTTCTTTTCTTATTTTCTCAGTTGGTAAAATGATTAGATCAGTAATATTTATTGTGCGGGTAGGTTACTAAGTAGAGAAGAAGTACCGTTATTTTCACCTCTATAGCTTTTGTACACCAGCGACCTTCAGCTATTTTAAACCGAAGTTTTTTGTATTTACCGAAGTAATAAAGCACAATTAATTAATTTAATATCGAAAAAATTCGCTTGCTTCCAACAACTGTAAGTATAACGATCAAAGTGCTCAAGTGTGCTAAATTCGTGTCCAGCCGATTTTGGGGGTGTCTGGATAAAATCGAATGGCAAAGAAAGAATACAAAAGCTAGAGAGGTGAAAATAACGGTACTTCTTCTCTACTTAGTAACCTACCCGCACAATAAAATATTACTGATCTAATCATTTTAACAACTGAGAAAATAAGAAAAGAAAATCGACCATACATAGTGTGCTAAACTAGTGTCCACCACTGTACATGCGTCAATTCAAAACCTGCTGCTTGAAGAACCTGAGACACTTCAGACTTAATTACCTTTAGCTCCTCTACAGCACCAGTTAACATGTAATTGACGTAAAAATCGGATCCAATTACGTCGGCAGCTCTAGGGAATGAAAATCTTGCAGATTCACTAAACCTTTTTAAACACCGAAGGCCAGAAATGAGGCTTGTATAGTCTCAAGGATTCATAGGGGTCTCTCCTCAACACTATGAGTTGAAGCTTCCTATCCGCTTCATTAACCATTACTTGACGATACATTTTGCTTACATCGGCAGTCAGGGCATACTACATGCGCAGCCGGAAGCGGAGTAGCGTGGAGTACAACTCTTTTTGAATAGTCGACCCCACCATCAGAATGACATTTAAGGCCGCCTGAGACGATGTTTTACAAGAAGCATCGAACATGAGGCGC